TAAAAATCATCATTATATGATATAATTATGGACATATGGTAAGAATATAGTTTAATAATTAATTATACATTACAAACAATTATAAAAACATCTTTTTTTTTTCTAATAAAGAACATTATTAAATCACATATAGAACATCACAAGAAATATGGATACTTGACCTAAGATGAATATTTATATAAAATGGTGAAAAAAATGAACAAAATAAAATAAAAAAATTTTTAAATTTTGAATTTTGAAATTTAAAAACGATATCTTTGGAAATAGTTTTAGAAAGAGAAATAATTATGAGAAACTGTATTTTTGGAGAGAGAGAGAGAGAGAAAAACTAATTTTGGAAAATGATAAAATTTGAAAATATTTAATCAGTTAATGTGAGCCATAAATATATCTTTTTGCTGTAATTAAAGATTTATGCTAAGAAATTCTCGCGTTCTTTTTATCTTAACTTGATGTTCTTTAGAATATATATGCATGTTCATTATTTACTAACATGATGTTCTTTCCGCTTTTTTTAAGCTTGTTTGGTGCCTGTGTTTTATGAACAAGCGGATGTTGTTTTTGCCCGGGTGTACCATGCGCATAATACACCCTGATGTACAAATCAAGAAATTGCTAGTGATCCTCCCATATCATAATTATTAATTTTCAAATTGTCATCTCCACTTATATATACTCACTATTGTTTTTTTTTTTTTTATATTTTTTTTATTCTTCAACTTAGCTAGAGAAATAGAGTACTTATTCTCCCAATTGATGTAATATACTATTTCTCCCAAAAGTCTGTACCTAGAGAAATAGAGTACTTATTAAAATACAAAGACTGTATAACGCAGTCAAAACGATGGTCTTAACAAAAGAATTGAGTGAAGGGCTCTAACTTTTGCTCAATCCTCACAGTTTTTTAGTACTACCTTCGTTTCATATTTTTTGCAACTTTGGAGTATTATTTGTGAGATATAAAATATTCCAAAGTTGCAAAAAAATGAAACGGAGGTATTATTATATTTGCAACAAAAAACTTCGAAGTAGGGAGAAAAGGCAAAGAAGTTTCCACCCAAGCATTCTCATTTGGCAAGATTAGAACCTCTAATCTTTTTTAATAATTCATATACTTTTAATACTTTGGGGAAGCAAAAGTTTTGGATACCCAAAATTTGAATCGAAACCAATTAAGATCGAACCAGCGATTTCAGAACCAAAATTGGATCGGGTTCTAAGTTTTGGGAAATAAGATTAAGAATTAATTATGACAAATCTTTGTTTCGGTTCCCAATTTGTTAACCTTAAACCGATTGGGTACTCGATTATTAGTCATCAATATTCCCTTTGTCGTTTTTAAACATTACACTTTTATCGATACATAGTATAAGGTGGTTAAATTGTGTTTTTAATGTACTCCCTCCGTATTTAATTAAGTAAAATGTGTTGAATTTTTGCACTATTCATCTTATCCACGCACTTTGACTATTGTTACTAATTTATACCTAAGAATATATATATTCTTATGGGTACTTGTTAGAATCGATCGTAATTGTAGACACCTGATTGTGTCTCCCCAAAAACCAAACCTAGTGATGAGTACCTTTCACGTTTTGATTGATGAGTTCAGTAAAGATTTGGAGAGTCTCGCAAAGTTTCCTTAAGCCTTGACCTTATTTCTAACTTTACCTAAAATGTTTTAACCCAAAATCATTCATTTCGTGTCCTTAAACCCAAAATCATCCATTTTGTGTCCTTAAAATCATTCAATTCGTGCCCAAATTATAAAAACGTCTAGACCAGATTATTTGGGTCCATGTTCCCAGTCCAATTATTTTTTAGTTGGATGGGGTTTGAAAAGAGCTTTCCAGCGAAATATTATTAGCCCAAATCCGACTTAAAACGAATGAGATATGTCCTAAATACTAAATCGAGCCCAAACCGAGCCTAGGTCTACCTTAGCTACGACCCAATGATTATATGGAGTCCAAAATATTTTATTTAGGCCCTATATGATCATATTCCCAATCCTAAATCAGTTAGAAACTTCTAAAATCCTCTAGAAGGTTCTAATCTATCGTTTCCGAAAAGATAGAGATCAAAGAAGTTCGAGATTGAATAAAACTTCTCATAATGTAATCCTTGTTCTATTCGAATACAAAGACGTTCGGATATCTTCTGCAAACATAATTCCATTAGAAATCAAACACCGTACAACTTTGCAATCCTTTAGAACCAGCACGCAACGTCAGGATCAACGCGCTACGACAGTCCTGACACGGCGCGATAACACCCAGCACGGCGCGACAATCCTGTCACGTCGCGTCAAAAGTTGTTCTATTTTATTTAGAACTTCTGATCTTTTCTGATCTCTCAAACTCTCTCTTTTCCTTATAAATAGAGGTCGATTCCCCGTTTTCGGATCATCAACAATCATCGAAAATCAGTCACAATTAGCATCATCAATTCGCAAGGATTCGAGAGAATTTTTACACCAATGCTCTTAGCCTAAACACCCCAAATAATCCACAATACTTCCTTTGCGTGATTCGAATACTCCAAACCATACTCAACGTTGCCTTCGACCTCGACGTGAAAGATTGATAGTTCTAAGGGTTTGGTCCTAAATCTATATTTCAATTCATTTTTGATTTATTTACTTTATTGAAGTTTACTAACGTGTGTATTGTTTTAATAGGAAGAAGGTTGAGGCATTAAAGTGAGTAATTCAATTACCCTTTTTATTAATCTTTTGATTTTGGATTAGAAATCATGTTTATGATGTTATTTTGATTTCTAATATCATGTTTAGGATGATGTGTTGATTTTGTTATTAGTGACATGCTAGGACTTGTTATTAATCCGTTTAGTATCATGCCTAGGATCTTACTACTAACGATATTTTTATGATGATGATTGTGATGTTTTGATGATATTCTTATGATGATGATTGTGATATTAATCATATGTTGCTTGATTATCTATGATTTATTGCTATTACTTGATCACGCCCATTTTTGTAGGTTTAAAGGGAAATTTTAATTAAAATAACACCTAGTAAGATGATTAATAATATGATCTAGGCTTAATATGATTTTAATTCAAGTTATCACCAATATTAGATTTAATTGTGCATTAATAATCAACCAACATAGATTAAACAGGTCTAGGATTCATTTGATGTATGTATGTTGATCGAAAAGCGTGCATGAATATCAAAAGAATTAAGTAGAGGCCTATTTAGGGCGGGTTTAACCTCTTTAGGTTGGATTTGTATCATCATCCTCGAACATCCAGTCATGGTTCTGGACCACTATGGAGTTAGCAATCTCTGTGATTGTGAATGGGGTGTAACCTTCACAATCGTGAACGGTTTACAAGTTCCTAAAACTTATTGACGACTCTTTTTCTCTAGCTTCTTTCCCTTGGAGCGCCGCCATGCTTAAAAACATGACACCACAGTAGGACGAAATGAAAAATTCCCTACAGTAATGGATAATTTATCAATATTCAATATTTATATTTATTACATATTGATAATTAAAGGTATAGTATTAGTCAAACTTTTACATTGGTATACGTGTATAAGAGAAACGTTTAACTATTTAAATAAACAGAAAGTAATATATTAAATGTGAGTTTGGGTAATTGATTTTAAGAAAAGATAGTGGAATTAGTAGAAATTAAGGGATGTATATAAGAGAATGAAGACCATTAGTGGAGACTATTCTAACCAAATAAAAGTAGCCAATATATATATATATATATATATTTTGTGAAAATTTTAAATTACAACTTATCTTTGCATTTAGTTCTTTCAGAACTTATTTCTGTATGGTTTTGTTCTTCGCCTCATTTAGTTCCGTTCGATTTTTTCTTTAATTTGTTCTTCCGTTAATCAAGGGTTTGTGTAGACACTTAAAAATATCTCCCTGACCAAATCCCTATGACGAAACAACCTTTCATTGCCTAATTTTGTCCGGTTCGCGTAATGGATCTAAGAATTACTTGAATAGTCCATTTGTTATAGCCTAAAATTATTTTTAAAGCCATTTTATCCATTTTGTTAGCCCAAACTTAGCCCATTTTCTCTTTTCAAAACTCAAGTCCCAAAACTGGTCAAAACTGAATTTCGTGCCTCATAATTTTTATCCAAATATTAGATGTTTGGATAGAACTTGAAATAAGCTTTCCAATGATATATCATAAACCCAATTCCGATTAGAAACGAAAAAAATATGATTAAAATACCAAACTCTATCCAAAACTGACACCGTTCCACTATTTCGATCATATATCAAATTCTACAAAAGATATCAATCTGATTCTAATTGGGTTGAAACGTAGACTTCTAGAGCTTTCCAAAGATCGATATATAATTTATCTTATTCCGATTTCTGGATCAATTTAAAAGTTATGATAAAAACAAAAATCTCAAAACTACTGTCCCTCGCTACGCATTTTCGAAAATCACTACTACAAAAATGGGAAAAGAGACCTGTTATATGAGACCTGTTGATTAATATAACAAGTCTCTTTAGTATAAGAGATCTAATATTAGAGATAACATGTCTCTTATATATTAAAGGGCCCACCACTCATTTGTGGAAGTTAATGGAAAAGGAATAAGAGACCTGTTGTTTATCCTAACAAGTCTCTTATTTGTGTAAGGGTCCACCACCCACCCTTCATTTTTTTCCCTCTCTCCTTTTCACACTCTAATTGATCCACTCTTCCACCTTCGTTTGTTATCTCCTCTTTCTCTCTTTGTTTTCCGCTTTCAATCTCCATTGAAGCTTTGCAAAGAAGAACTTGCCCACCAAAGTCGCACGAAAGTCTACTCCAGCCACGAGCAGAGTAAAGAAGGAAGACCCATCGTTTCAGACCTAGAATTGTCGCAATTCGTGAGATCGAAAGTAATAGAATCCGTCGTCGTCACCCTCCAGATGAGGGAGGCCGCTGAAGCTTACTGGTTTGCCTTTTCAAACATACCAACCTTTGCGTTATTTGTGGTGAGAGTGCTTAATTTGGGGGGTTTTAATTGAATCTTAATGTTTAGGGTTTGGGTTTTTTTTTCAAGAAATTATAGTTTTTCTTTGCTTGCATATAATTTAATCGTGTTTGTTTATGCTTGTTATGTTTAATTGTTGATTGTTAAAAAAAAAATTGGGTTTAATCGTCCATTTTTTTGGAATTTTGTTTCACTATTGAGGTAATTGGACGACAAATTGAATGTCTCTTTGGAAATTAAGTAATCGATGCAGGATTTATATAAAATGTTGATTAATTGCTTTGATAGTCTTGTTATTCAAGCATAACAATTCGAAATCTAACCCCTTTTTTCTCTATTGTTTCTTGCTCAAGTGTTGACTTAATTAAGATTATCTTTGTCTAGGTTTATCATTCCATTTGAATGATGAATTGGGTGTAATTTTTTTTTAAAGGGAATTGGGTGTATTTTAAATGTTGATTAATTGGCTATGGTAGATTATTGTTGTTGCTGAGTTTGTATTGTTCCATTTGAATGATAAATTGGGTGTATTTTAAATGTTGATTAATTGGCTATTGGTAGATTATTGTTGTTGTTGAGTTTGTATCACTGATGCCTGTAATGTTTTATCTTCCAATCCCTTGTTTTTTCTTCAGAAAGATCGGCTCGTTGTCTAGGATTACGATAATGTATACAAGAAAAGAGTTTATACAAATATTCACTCTTGCTTGCTCAACACTATGAGGTTAATCTTAATGTATTAGCTGCCTTAGTGTAGACACTTCCTCTGGTACAGTGGCCTTCGATAATATGAGTAAGCTTATAATTTTCAAGGATCTTGCGGTTGACAATTATTTTTTACCCTACAGATTTAGTGTAGTCAATGATGGAACTATATATGATGCATCCTTTGATGGAACAATAAGCTGCACTAACATAGAAACTAGAATTTTAGAATCATTAATGGACCTGAATCCTAATGGTTGGCATGTATGTCAATTTTTTTTATTGATATTTTAGTTTGGTCAGATGTGATTGTGTTTGGCTATGATAGCATTCGGTTGTCAATGAGAATTTACAACACACCCAAGCATTTTTTTTTTCTTTTTTTTTTTAGATCTTGTTGCTATACTTTTCCTTAGGTAATATAATTAGGCTTACATTCTTGAATACATGATTAATGGGATACATGAACACATGCAGGGTCCAAGAAGTTGGCAGATGTTGTATGTCTTAGATATTAACTTAGAGAAGAAACAAGGAGAGATAATTATTAGAGGTCATAAAACGTTTGTGCTCAATCTACAATTAGGAACCAGGTACTTTTCGCCTCTTTTTGCCCCATTATAATTTTATTTATGGACTACTTTCAATATATTGCAATCATGTCATCCTGTTGATGCACCTTATTTGGCTCTAGTAAGCTCAAACCTCAACTGTTTCGGTTTTATTGTCTGTCGTTCTTATTTGGCTCTAGTAAGCATTGAACTAGTTCCTTGACCATAGACATGCAGATTAAGATGAATTTAGTTCAAACATTATTATATTGTGATTATTTTAAGAATGGTGATGTATTATTTTAAGAAATCATATACAAAGTGGTAAAGGTGATTATTTTTAAATTGTGATTTATATTTATTGTGTCTTATGTGGCTTTTCAAAATTAGTATTCTCCTTCGGATTTCAATGTGGGGTGTGCTTTAGTTAGAGATTCACTCATGTTTAGCCTTAGCTTGATTTTCAATTTGACATCAGTATATCTTTAATTTACCTAATTTAATTTTTTTTGTTAATCATGATTTGTTGTTTATCTTGTAGCTCTTTCACCAAGACCCTTGTGCTCATTCATTTGAAAATGTTGACGAAATTAGAGATCTGTGGGGCTAAATTCTCTTATACATGTAAATTATTGTTCGTATATACTTGTAAATATAACTACTAGTAAATTCAATAATTATATAAGTTTATGTAAATTTATCTAATTGTTTGGTTCTGCAATTTTCAATTTTAGTAGAATATAATTACAAAATATTAAATATATCGTCGAATTATTTAAAAAAAATAATATAAAGAGACCTATTATCTGACAAAACAGGTCTCTTTATGGCTCTCAAAGACACCTGTTGTGTTAAATAACAGGCCCCTTCCCCTTCTTAAATGTATGATGTGTATACATGCAAAGAGACCTGTTACCTTACTTAACAGATCTCCTATTGTTGATTACAAAGAGACCTGTTCAGTTGAACAAGTTTCTTTATCAAAGAGACCTGTGAGCTAGAGACCTCCTCTAAACAGGTCTCTTATGCCATTTCCAACGGGTCTCTTTGGCCTTTTTTGTAGTAGTGAATCTATCTTCTTTCAAAAATCTATCTTCACATGATTTTAAGCCTATAAATACCACCATTATTTCTGATTTTTGAGGGAGCATTGGACAATCATACAAATATTTATCAATCCCAAATCATCCCAAAAGGCTTAGGCTTAAAGTTTCAACGTACAATTTCTATTGTTCTTAGCTTTATTTTTAATCTTATTCAAGTAATTCAAAGTCCAAAACAAGATCCGAAGGTTCTACCTTTTTTACTAAGGCGTGAAGGTATAATTCCGAGGGTGATATTAATTTCTCTAACTCTTTAATTTAATTCTTGTGAATTATTATTTTTATTAAAGTTATTAACAATTTATTCATGACGTAGTATTCAAAGTTGCACATTCGGAGTGAGTATTTAATTCTTTATTTTATTTACTCTAATTATTTTTATTGCTTTGATTACTAGCATCATGTTTAGGATAACACGTTCATTTCGTTATTAGTAACATGCTAGGATTGTTATTAATCTGTTTAGTACCATGCCTAGGATCTTACTACTAACGATATTTTTTTATGATGATGATTATCATGATAATTATATGTTGCTTGATTATCAATGATTTGTTGCTATTGCTTGATCACGCCCCTTCTTGTAGGTTTAAAGGGAATTTGTAATTGAAATCACGCCTAATAAGATAATTAATAATTGGATTTAGGTTTAAGATGGTTTTAATTCAAGTGATCACAAGTATTAGATTTAATTGTGCATTAATAATCAACCAACATAAATTAAACAGGTTTAGGATTAATTTGATATATGTATGTTGATCAAAAAGGGCGTATGAACGTCAATAAGGATTAAGTAGAGACCTATTTTAGGGCGGGTTTGACCTCTTTGATAGTAGTTCGTACCATCATCCCCGAATATCCAATCATGGTTGTAGACCACTATGGAGTTAGCAATCTCTGTGATTGTGAATGGGGTGTAACCTTCACAATCGTGAACGGTTTACAAGTTCCTAAAACTTGTTGGCGACTCTATTTCTCTAGCTTCTTTCCTAGGATCGTCAGCACGCCTAAAAACATGACCCACCGTAGGGTGAGATAAAAATTCCTATAGTTTTTATTTGCAAAATTTCTTCTTAAATTGCTCAATTCAACTTGTTTTATCGTTTATGAACAAATTTCATTGAAATTAAGAGAAACTTTGAAGAAAGCCGATGTAATTTGCTTTGAATTGGAATGGTTATAGCGGGTTTTAGATAGAGAACTTTGTGATTTTAGGAGAGAGAAAGTAGAAGGAAGTGTGGGTTGAGAAAATACAAGTTAATCTTCGTGATAAACTTGAAGCGTTTATCTAAGGGTATAATTGTCCATTCACGCATTTAAGTATGGGTAAGTTCGTAATTTCAAATATAATAAAAGTTAACACAGTTAAGCTCAAGGAATGTCGTTAATGGAGGAACTTTCGAGAGTTTCAATGGAAATTTCAGAAGCTTCAATGGAGATATTATTTAAGCTCAAGGGAAGCTTCAATGGAGGAATACATCACTCCTACCCTTTGGGGTTGAACTTGCCCTTAATTACTCCCTTTTTCTAAAAGTTTTCTTTTATTTGGCGGCAAAGCCTTCGAAAATAGTGATGGACATGTCAATGGAAGGTGGGTGACCGAAGATGAAGGTGGATTGAGGGAGGAAGAAGAAGATGGTGGAGGAGATGAAGCTGGGAAGAAGATGAAATTTACCGTTTACGTTGTTAACTCACAAAAATTAACATCAGTCTACAATTGGACCACATATAACAAATGAAAATAATTTTTAATTCACCATCACGATTCCCATTACAAGATATTTAATTTACGAACTTTCCAACTAGAGTAACAAAATTTGTTTATCATCAAGAAAAACATAGGCACCCTCGTGTGGGTTTTGTTTGAGAAGTGAGAAAATGAAATGGTCTAGGTATATACGAAGTTGTTTGGTTATATTTATTATAATACTTTCATTACTTGCACTCTCTTAATCTTAAGCGTCTAAATCTAATCTTACAACGAATTAGATTGATTCTACATAGTGAGTGTATTTCAGTATCATTTAAGTTCATTCTACATATATAATTTCATTACTTTAATAACCAAAAGATTTTTATTTGTGACAGATTGCTAAATATTGTGCTTTTAATCTTAATACAATATATTTCTTTAAGAAAAAAAAAGTTTTAATTTGAAAGTCTTTTATTATGACTGTTAATCTTAATTCAACTTGAGTACATGACATTGACATACGGGGTATGGATTTAATATAGAGTAGTTATTATGAATTTAAACCACCAAACTTCATTATCTTTTATTGATGATCATATTTATATAGGACTTTTAGGCACGTATTTGCTTCTTTTATAGTTGTTTTTTTTTAGCTCTTTTACAGCTTGTTTGGGTAAAGTTAAGGGAAGGAAAAGAAGGGGAGGGAGGTGAAGGGGAGGGAAGGGAAAGGAAGGGGAAGTAAGAAGGGAGAGTTTTCCTTCCAATTCTCTGTATTGTTGGAGGGATCTCTTTCTTAGAATTTAATCCCTTCATTTCTCATCCCTCCAATTCCCTTCATCCCTAATTTTCTATCCAAATGAAAGATACTCCATTTCCCTTCCTTTCTTTTCCCTCCATTTCCTTCAACCCAAACACACTCTTAGTCTCTTTTTAGGTCGCAAATGCATAAGTTGTCCATTTTGTGCTCTATTACGCTTCGTTTGTATTTTCTTAATGTTTCAGATAGTTTTTATAACTATTTGGACACTTTTGGAGTAGTTTTTGAAGAATCGGACAAGGATGAAACGTCGATGAATCAAAGCCGTTTATGCCTTTTATTATATACGTTCATTTTTTTAGCCCTAGTTTCTCATGGGAAACTCCATGGGATCTCCATGGATAGTTCTTGAGTCTATTGATTTTATTCATTAAGGTATTTTATTTCTCTCTTTTAATTATACTTCATCGTTAGATTTAGTTTTAATTATTCATTTCATGCTAGATTCTAGGGTTTGAGAATCCATGTTTATACAATGAATCTTGATTGATATTAATGATTACTCTAATTGATAGTGCTTTATTGTTAATCTTGCAACCTGAACAATTGTTTGATTAATTATTGTTAATAAGAGTTTGAATCGAAAAATCTTACTTTTAGAGGCTAACCTACAATTAGCAATTTTGATTATGTTAGCGACCGTACTACATATGTTATGTTGAAAGCGTTAAGACCCAACCATAGGCTTAGAAATTGCTCTACATACTTGATTGATTGATTGCTCATGGTATTTTGATAGATTTAGAGCTATAATCATGGTAAACCATAACCCTAGGGCTTTTTATTGAGTTCTTATTCTAAATTAGACTACCTTTTTATCCCAATTTCTTGGCATTGTTTAGTTTCTCTAATCCTTAACAGTTAGATTGAATAGTCATCTCTCTGTGGATTCGACCCTACTTATCCTACTACATTGTTAGTTGGTTTTGTTAGGAATTTATTTTTGACAGGTATACAACAACCTATCAATTATGTTCTCTTTTTTTTTGCTACAATTAATATGATACCTATACTTTATCTACAATTACATTCAATGCATGTACCATTAATGGTTATTGATTAATTGCTTTCTCTTATATCCACGTATATTGGATGGAAATTTCATTAAAAATTTAGGCAAAATTAAGAAAATCAAGTTTTGTTCACCGAAGAATGCAAAGGAACAGTGCCACATGGCACTATTTAAAGTACATATGCCATGCTACAATGTCACGTCACTATCTAAAATATATGCGCCACGTAAGCTCACCACTTCATTTAACAAAATAAATTATGCTTTGAGTTAGATTCGAACCCGTAACCTCCAATACATAAAGATAATACATTTACTATCTCAACCAACTTTAATTAATCTTTTAAATTTCACATAACATTATATATTCCTTTCATTTATTAAGTAAATTAGAGGTTATGTAATTTATTTATTATTCTAAAGATTAGAAAATAAATACACATGAGGTAAAAAAAAGTGACACCCGAGGCAACGCTTGGACCATGCACAAATATACAAACAGTCGAATAGAATTATCAAATTAAAGAAGTACAAACTAGCAACCTAGGGCATCGCTCGAGTCATACACTAGTTAATTAAGAAAATCAAATTTCGTTCACCGAAGAATGCACGTAAATTATTAAGGTTGAGTGTCCAAATGGTTATATAATATTAAATACTTTGTATTTTCTTATTTTGCCAAATAAATTTTGTTTCGGGTGAAAAACAATGGGACCTCGCCGAAGGTCCGCTGAAACGGAGAAGACTGGATTCGGTCCAATTTATGTTGAGCCAAAGGTTTCCTGCACAGTGAACACACGTAAACTAGCCTCGGGGGTGTTGCCGAGGAAGGCCCCTCCGATGCTAAAGTCAGTACAATGTGTAAAAAGAGAACACTATGCAAGAGAATTTATTGCTTGAGGCTTTGATGGAATATATGAGAATGTATAAATGAACATGTGAATCTATGAATGAATCAGAATCTGAATCTCCGAATATGGATGGCTTTTATACCTCTTCATAAATGGATAGGTTGGGCCTTAGCCCAATTGACTTGCTTTGTGGGCTGACCTTTGACTTTAGCACAATTGGAGAGTTGAA